CACCTATGTTTTTTTTTTCTAGTTATTCTATCCTTGAGTAACCATTGGACCCTTCTTAAAGAAGAAAAGGAAAAGAGTTACGTACGAAGAGTTAAGAGTTAGCGAAGTAATTTTATTTATAATAAATAGCCGATAAGATGCTGGCTAAAGTGGGTGGTTTCTTGACTTTAGCAAGCTTATGATGACTCAGGTCTCATGTTTCGTATTCAGAGTCTTGTGAAATTTGCTCACGAGGAAGACGTGTTGGGTCTTTTCTCATCAGTGTCTGATAATTACAACAGTGGCATGTTGTACCCAGTGGGCTCGGCAGCTACAGAGCCAATGTGTACCCGAGGTCCAGTGTCAGGCCACCGGAAATAAGCTGCTATAATTATTGATTGTTTGGAAAAGCCCTTGTGGAGACATTACAGTCTGTTGCTGTACACCTTAATGCAGAGGCCACCTTTTGTCTCCCTGTCCCCAGTCCTTAATGCAGAGGCCACCTTTTGTCTCCCTGTCCGCAGTCCTTCTCCCTGTTCATGCCTTTGGCTGTACCTAGGCAAGGAATCCTGCTCAAACCTTCCCTTTATCTTTCCAATGTCCCTTTGAGGGCACACGTCAACGTATTGATCTTTCTTCCCTCTCCTGCTCACTTTCATGATCTTTCAACTCCTACCCTGCTGTTTTTAAACAAAACCCAGAAAGCCTGAACTTATACGGCTCTTGCCCTGTGGGGGGATTTGGTTATTCCCTGACCAGTCTTTTCACTCAAAGTGTTCTTTCTTCAAATCCAGCTCTGTTTCTTGTCAAAATTACACCAGAGTCTGCCTGTTTGGAGACGCTCGGCTTCCTCTCTATCCTTTGTTCTTATGGGATGGCAGAGGGAGCTGAAGACTTAGGATTAAGGCATCCCCAGAGAAACCACCCTTCCCTAGCCTCAGAGAGGCACTTGACCTTCCAGGGGCTTGTTTTCCTTTCAGGCTTTTGATTTGTCTTTGAATGGTTTCTGCGTTTTCTTCTGACTGCTCACTTTCCTTGGCTTAGGTTCTGTCACTTCACTTTTTCTAATTAATTTCTCATCATGGCTATTCTATCATATTTGGATGCAATGCTGACAGTTGATGTCAAACTTGTTGGGGCTGGGAAGCTATTTTGGCGTAAACCAATTCCCTAAAGTATCCGAGAAACAGCAGAGTGGCTGGTTTGGCTCAAGTCAGGGAGAGGAGAAGAAAAAGAAAAAGAAAAGGAAGAGTGGGAACAGACAGCATGAAAAGATGGGCGCCCAGATCAAGGTGTGGACAGGGGCAGGAAGCAATGCATACATTTATCAGAAATCCGAGGCGACTGTTGCAGCGGACCCACTGGGACATTTTGTGCTTCCGCTGCAAAGGGGGTGTGTGTGGGGGAGTCATAGGGTGGATTTGAGGCAATCTTACCTAGTCAGAAGGGGACAGTGAGCCCAATTGACACTATGTGCATCATATGCACCAAATGCAAGGCTTGTCTTGGGGTCTTTCTGAAGAACACAGCTCATGCAGAGAGCCTTGCAAGTATCTGTAAAGATGGTTGTATGTGCCACTTTGGTTCTTCATCTCTCCTAGCTTTTGAGAAACCTCAGAGACGTTTCTTTAGATCTTTTCCTCAGCAAGGACTCATTTTCTCCAGCACTTTCCTCCCATCCCTCTAGTTAACTTGCTGCAACCTCTTGTTTACTTTGCTCGCTCTTTCGGTCTTCTAGTCCATATTCTCCCCTTTGCAGCTCAAGTTTCATGGGCTCAGCTGTGTGAATTTTGTTTGTTTGCTTTGGCTCTTGTAACCAGGGTAGCAATGACAATCTCCATTTTATGGTAAAAGATTCAGGGTGGCTTACAAAAATACTGTCTTTTGTTCCACAGTATTTGTGAAAAGTCTGTCTAAGGATAGGGGAAGAGACAAAGAAATAGGGAGTGAGAGAGGAAGAGAGAAAGGGAGGAGGCACTCATCTTTTAGGAAGAATATGCTGAAACATTTCTAGAGGAAATTATATATTTGGACCATGCTCCAAAATAATCCAGAAGGGGAGAGGAGAGGCAGGGAAGGAACTTAGACATCATGGCTAAACAGTATTGATAACGTTGTGAAGCTCTGTAATGAACACGTGAAGATTTAATAGGTATATTGGCCCAAGCTTTGAGGATGTTGGATATTTCATTATCAAAGGCAGAACTTCAGTCTTTTATTAATGTTTTGGACATGGGTTATTGGTCTCTATAGTTGCCACAGGTCTCTTGACTATATGCGACCCCCAGGTGACTTCTTGAGTTCCATTCACAACATCCTTTCTTAAAACATGTCTCAATTCTTGCTTCCTATTGACTGACTGCCTTTGTCTCTGTTGGCAAGGACAGTGTCTTACTTATCTTTGGAGCACAGTACCTAGCATATTTTATTGACTGAAATGAGTTGAAGGAAAGTGTCTGCCCAGAAATCCCCAGCCCATGGATACTCCTTCACTGTTGCCATGACTCTTTCTGGAACTGTGACAGCAGGAGCTCCTAAGTGAAGCCACAGCACACCTGTGCAGAGTTTTCCTCCAAGTGTGGGAGGAGCTCTCTTGGCTTTCTGCATACATACAAGGCTGTATCACTATGGGATTCTCTAACAGATCTGGCCTTTCTTCTTCTGATAAATCCAGTTTCCTTTCAGATCTAAAGGTCACACTAGATTTGCTGCTTCCAGTGATTTGTAGTTAATAACTCAGGTGTGGATGTAAATTAGCATTTTTGTCTTTGCTTTTGAGCATCTTCTACGCAGTTCATCCTTCATCCCTGGACATGGAGAATTGTGCTCTTCTTATCTTCTCACATTCATTGGGTGACGATCCAACTCATCTCATCTTTGTCATTTCTCTTATGCTCCTAATGTTTCTCTCTTCAAACCCAAATCCTTGGCATCTCCCCGAATTCTTTATGTTGGGATCCATCCCTTGTTTGAAGGGGTCCCTGCAGGTGTCATACAGGGAAGTGAACTGCATGAAATGAAAACCCAGCACTGATTGACTTGGTCAACCTGAATCAGACTGTGGGGAGTCTAATAACAGGCAGTTTATTCCCAACATAATTTGGGAAAATTTTCTTGCTGTAATATAATCCCCATTACATAAGGAAGCATGATTACATTGAAACTCAACTCAGGATACATGCCATTTTTTTCAAGAAGGTGGGTTCTAGCTTAAGGGCCAGAGGATCTTCTTGCCTGATTTCAGTCATACAAATATCATAGCGGTCATTAGACACCTTTGGTCCTGGTTGTGGAAGCTTGAGGGAACCTCTGACTCCAAGGGTCATTTAGACTATCAGCCAACCTCCAGTCTTGGTTGTAAGAGCTTGATACGGCCTAGACCAACAGGCTGTTAATCACTTTCAATTCTCAACTTTTTGGATGGAAGAACAGGTTTCTCATCTTTCCCACTGGAAAGACAATCCCGTGTGTTAACTACTCCCAATTTCTCTGGAAATCTGTGGCTCAAGGACCTTTGTGGTATGCTCCCAATAACTGTTCATCTCTTACTATTGTCCTTCTGGCAACTTCCACCTTACTCTCACTACCTTAATATAGATTTTATGAATCTTAGGGGTCACTTTGTCTTTGAGATTTCAACTGGGGAGACATATATATGCATCCATTTGACAAGGGTCACAGAGGGTAAGTGGTTTGTTTAAGGTTTCAGAATCAGTGAGAGACAGAAGTAGGACCCTGTCTCTTAAATCTTAGAATTTTCTGACAATAGTTCAGAGTACTGGGATCTGAACTAAGCCTAGGTGGAGTGGCTATGATTGTTTTTGTTTTTGACTCATGCCAAGATTGACTGAAAGCTTAATATTGTCTCCAATTACTTTTCTTATTGCTGAAAAAAACCCTAACAATCCACAGACATCACCCCATCAGAGTTTTACTGGGTGCCTTAGGCTTCCCAGGTAAGACTCAGCACCAGGACACATACTAGAGTGGTGGTTCTCAACCTATGGGTCGGGATCCAGGGGAGGGGTGTCAAGTGACCCTTTCACGGGAATCACATCTCAGATATCCTGCATATCAGATATTTACATTACAATTCATAACAATATCAAAGCTACAGTTATGAAGTAGCAATGAAAATAATGTTATGGTTGGGGGTTACCACAATATGAGGAACTGTATTAAAGGATCATACCTTTAGGAAGGTTAAGAACCACTGCCCTGAAGGATGTTAATTGGAAAGATGACAGGTGATGATGGGTAAAGTGTGGATCTCCTTCCTTAAGTAAAGAGTTGATTGTTGGACAGCATGACCAACAAGGGTGTAGGATGGTAGGGCAGTGAATGATAGCCACTGCTGTGAAGCAGGAATGTGATTGCCACCTACTATCACCCAAGGATCAGAAGGAGCTAGCCATATGGCAGAGTGGTAGGGAAGCTACAGCAGGTTAGTTATGACAACACTTACTTTTAACCATGCCTCTACAGGTACCCAGATCCAATGCATTATAGTGTCACAATATCCTCAGTTGAAAGGATTGAGCTCTTGGGAGTTTATTATTGATTTTTCTACCAAAACAACCTTTGGAGGAAAATATGCTAGTAATCAATTTACTTTCCATCCCTGATTCCTTGACAGAAGGCACTATGTTTGAAATCAATTTAATTATTTTCTCTTTCCTCACCAAACCTCCAAAACAAACTATATACTTATGTGGGAAACTGAGATGAGCATTTCAGTTTAAGTGAAAACGTAACCATCCTAAGACAAACAAACTGAAAGATGTATTCCTGTGTCTGCATAGAGTTTTAGTTTTTGCAAAGCTAAGTATGCTTCCCCCACCATCTTTGTCTGCAAGGAGAATTGAGCATGTGTGGAATAACTCAGAGTCAGCATCCAGGAAAAGAGCACTGACCTAGGGTGGTAGATGGAATGATTATATGTTCTGGATTCTTCTTGCACTCTACAGAATTGCATATAGAATTCCAATAAGATCCTGATACATAACAAAAGGAGCAAGGAATGTATTGGGTTTATGCTTTATTATCTAAGTAAAAAGGGAAGATACAAAAGTTGCTTTATTTACCAAACAAGGGAAAGTAGGCCTACAGGGAGTGTTGGCCATTTTTGCTGAACCGGCAGACCATGGGAAGGTTGACCAGATGGCTGAGTTTTACATCCTGGCCTATCATTTCCGAGGCTGTTGGATAATGTAGGCCCTCTTCAGTGGAGCAGCCTTCTCTAGAGCAGGTGTGGGTTTTTGATGTGCCATGTGAACTGTTGCTGGAAATTTATGGTTGAGCTAAAGGTGAAAAGGGAAGAAGAAATAAGCATATTGGATCCCTTGGGTTGTAAAATATTACAATACAAGAACGCAATACAGTTGGTCAAGTCAGAGTTTTCTTTGCTTCTTTGTCGAGACCTTCCTTGGTCAGCACTTCAGTCCTCAACCCATTGAAGTCTGTGTGTGTGTGTGTGTGTGTGTGTGTGTGTGTTACACTGTTGTTTCCTTCATGGGTATGTCTTTAAATTTTATAATCATAAGGACATATGACATATATAAGTAAAAGTCTAAGTTAGCCTTGAACTCATGATCCCTCTGCCTCAGCCTTCAAAGGGCTTGGATCAGAAGCATGCACCATCACTCCAGGCTGTATATTTGTTTTGAGGTCCCCTTTTGAAAAGCAGAAATGGTGACGAATATCTGTGCCAGTCAGTGATTCTAGCACCGGTGAGTGTAAAACAGATCATCACATTCTAAGAAAGCTGTGGAGACATTAGGGAGAAGTTCTGAGGATGGGAAATTCTTTAATTACCAAACTATCAGGACAAAGAGCCTCTGAAAGAAATTAGAAGGCATCAATTTATTCATTAGGGCAATGCATTTTAAATTGTATTTTTTTTTTTTTTAGTAAAGAGTGGCTGTTCTACCTGGTTCAAACTACACAGCCTGGTGAAAGAGCACTGAAGAGTAGCTTCCTAGCTTCAGGTGAAAACGATTCTCAGCTGAGAGGAGGTGCATTCAAATTGACACAGACTGTGAGACTTTCTGACAGCAGGAGACATTCCTGTCGACCAAAGATCCCATGGGATTTACATTCAGTGCAGCTTAAGATGGGGAGGGTTGGGCTGGAGAGATGGCTCAGAGGTTAAGAGCACTGACTGCTCTTCCAAAGGTCCTGAGTTCAATTCCCAGCAACCACATGGTGGCTCACGACCATCTATAATGATATCTGGTGTCCTCTTCTGGCCTGCAGACATACATGCAGGCAGAATACTGTATGCATAATAAATAAATAAATCTTAAAAAAAAAAGATGGGGAGGGTTTCAGAGCTGCTGAGTGATTTGCACACCTTTCCTAGGAAGAGTTTGATTCAGTGACCTTTGGGGCTGTTCAGTTTGGGATTTCCCAGCTCATCAATATTTCCTCAAAGTACATCAAGACACAACTGTTAGCCAGGCAGAAAGTGGGGCCTTGGCTTGCTAGGCATTTAATCTATCACTATTGAATTTGAATGTCCTTGTTTTGACACTCAAACTAAATAAAAGGGGGGAAGACTATTATGACTCTAAGTAGCACATCATTTGATTGGGTTCTTATAAACTAGAGAAAAAATGTGTTTTCCATCTCTTCTCAAATACCCCTGGCCAAGCTATTGCAAACAGCAGTGACTTTCATGTGAAACTTGACTCTGAGATGTCTCTTTTTGATCATTAAATGCACATGTATACACACACACACACACACACACACACACTCACATACACATGAAGGGAGGGAGGGAGGGAGAGAGGAGGAAGAGAAGGGGAGGAGGGAATATAGAATCATGGGAAATTCTAAGTGCTTGCTTATAAGTATTTTTCTAATTTGTCTTTTACAATGAGCTGATACAGTGTATATTAATTAACCCCAAAATGGCCCCCTGCTGACATTCCCGCCGAAGGGATCAAAGTAATTTAATATTGGTTATAAGTGTTGCTTTAATGTATGAAAAGGAATGGGGGATTTATTTATTTATTTATTGTTTAGTTCAGAGCAATTATCATTAGCGTACATGTGTTTTGCAGTATGTAAGGGATAGTATTATGTTTTGTTTTTCTTTTAACATTAGAGCCCAAAGGAAATTTCTGGGGTCACTGACTCTAGTGGTTTGTTTCCAGAGTGGGTGTTTTAGCTTTATCTAAAACAGATGGGTTATTTCAGGTTGACTTTAAAACACACACACACACACACACACACACACACACACACACACACACACGTCACAGACAGGAACAACAACCTGGCAAGTTACTGAAGGTCAAATGGGAGGCAAAGGGTGAACAAGAAGACAAATGGAGCCTCTGTTAGACTGTGGTCTGGGCAATCAGACAGAATGAGGAGGGACAGAAGTTGGGACAGGAAGGGGAAAGCCACAACTGTCGTTGTTCTTTAGGTGCGAGGGGCAATGGTGGAGCTAGGAAACCAGAAGGGAGGTGCCAGAGCTTAGCTTAGCAGGAATTTGTAAGCAGCCGTGGTTGCTTCCTGGATCATCATGTGGTAACATGTGATATAAAATTGACCACTTTATCTATTTACAAAAGTGTTTTACAGTCCAATAACATTAAACATGTTCATATTATTGTACCATCATCACTACTACTCATCTATGGAACTTGGTCTCCAAATTTAAACATGGTGCCCACTAAGCAATACTCCTTGTCTTAGTTGACCAAAAGCAACTTGAGGAGGAAAGGGTTTATTTCATTATACATCTCACAGTCAGTGTATCGCTGAGGCAAGTCAAGACAGGAACTTAAAGAGGGCAGAAACCTGGAGGCAGGAGCTGATGCAGAGGCCATGGATGAGTACTGTTTATTGGATTCTCCCTAAGGCTTGCTCAGCCTGCTTTATTATAGCAACCAGGACCACCAGGAGTTAGTAGACAGTGTTAGACATAACAAAAACATACAATATGAAATTCTTAAATGATAAATTTTTAAAATAAAGTAGATCTTGAGGAAAATTAGTTTAAGACTCTTAAAAATGGGGCAAAGAACTGGAAACAAATAGAAGTCAGTTTCTGGAGTATAGTTTATAATCAACTATATTTTAGTCTAGCATCTTATCTTGGGAAAGTTCTAGAGTTTTTAACCATTGGTCATCACAACATGACAGTGTTAGCAGAATGGAACTTGTTTCTTGTCTGAGTCACTAAGGTAACAGTACCTAACAGAACATAAGAGGAAGAATTCAAGGTTGAGTTGTGTGTGTATGCGCGAGTGTATGTATGTGTGCTTCCTGTGTGTATCTCTGTGTGGATTCTGTCTCATGGCTTCATTACAGGAGTGACATACTGAACATGAAAAACATATCAAGAGAAATTCCTGTGCTGAGAATTTTTCCTTCCTTGTAGACACCTGTGAGCTCAAAACCCCTATTTTTAGTTTCAGGGAAAACAGCATAAGAAGTCTGATCCAGGTTTGTCTGCCTAGAGCTCTGAAGCAAACTCTAGATGGAAAGAGATCAGGGCAGGCTCCGTTTTGGAGCCTGAAGTGTGGTGGTCTGAGCGGATGCCAGCTCTCCCATTTGTCTTCCTCGGCTGTTAAGTTCCAACTCCAATGTTGGCACTTACATTTCCACACCCTGTTAAGCAAAGCACTTAAAACAATACACACACTCCACATCAGTGACATTCAAGGGCACTCCTACAGAGAAGTTAATCTGCGTAACAAGAGGAGCCCTCCTAATTTCACAGATGCCTTTGATGGTTTTCTTTCCTGGGATACCATTTCACAGGCAGCTGGGCAACTTTGGCCAGTCGGCGACCCAACGCCTGGCAATTTGGAAAATGTCACCAAACTTTCATCAGACCCCAGTTCCACACCTCTACATAACATAAACATTATTAATGTTTAACCAGATACCTTTGTGTGCTGAGAAAACAGCTCAGTATCTTTTTCCTTCTGACTTATAAAGAAAAGTTTTAAAGCACACGAGAAGCCATAAACATTTGAGGAACTATGTGACATCCCTAAAGTCAAATTGCCTTTAAAAGTGGCTGGTAGAAGCTAGTCACAACCGGGTCTCTCAGATGTGAGCACGTAGAGCATCCAGGGTACACAAACGTCTTTTCTACAGTGACATCAGGCAATGTATGCAGTCACTGGACAATGCAAATATTCTGCGTAGGGATGGAGAGGTGGGAAGGACCGACGGGAGAGGCAGAGAAGGAGAAGCAGGGTGGGAAAAAGGAAAGAAGCCTGTATGGGAAAACAGTGGGAGGAGGATGCTCAGGCTGCTTCTCACCTAAATTAGTCCAGTTCGAGTCCTCTGGGGGAGTGTTTTCAGTCCTGAGCCTTAAACCTTAGGTTGGTAGACAAATGACTGAGTGATTGGTGAAGCCCTATAGGAAGTGGTCATCATAGACTACCCCAGTTCCAAAATCAAGATCAGAAATGTCATGGGTTCTCGGGACTCACATAACTAACTGAAAGCTGGAAAGAATGTTAGCAAATACAAAAAGAATATGCTCCTCAATTATGCCACTGTGATTCTTATGGCCAATTGTTAGGTCTTCATGATAATGTATAGTATGGATGGGGAACTGCTTTAATACAAGGGGAAAATCAAAAGAGGTATAAATCTCTACTTTTTTTTTTCTTGGTTTGGGACAGGGTCTATCTATGTAGTCCTGACTATCCTGGAACTGGCTAAGTAGACCAGGCTGGTCTTGAACTCATGGGGATCCACCTGCCTCTGCCTCCCAAGTGCTGGGAATAAAGGCTTGTGACACCACAGCCTGCAGATTAAATTTTATCCTTATGTACTCTGTGTGTGGGAGTGCAATGGAAGACAAAATGGTAGCTGCCTCAAAAGGGATATGTGGACTCTGATAGAGGATATCTGATACCCTCTTCTGGTCTCTGTGTACATACACATATGCCCCTCCCCCCACAGATACATAGACACGGGCATGCAGACACACACATACACAGATATATAGATACAGACACACAGTCACAGACAGACAGGCAGGCAGGTAGGCAGACAGGCAGGCATACAGACAGACAGACACACACACACAGGCATGACTATTTCTAGAGCGGAGCTGGTGCTCCCCAGATCCTGATTTTGGCAACACAATACTTCAAAGTATGGCTCCTTGGCACACTGATACGGCACACTGAGAAATCCTGGTAGGTAGCAGGTTCTGGAGAGGCTCCCATTGAAGTCCTTTTTCAACCCAAAGGCCAGAGCCTCCCGGACATTCTCTGCTCCTGTGAACCTCTTTCCCAGATCGGCCAAGAAACTGATGCAG